CCAGATAAGAACGAGCTGAGGATGATAAATGGGCGGGAGATAAGAGTAAAGTGGGTTTCACAGCTTCCAAGAAACTTTTGAAAACGATTTTTTACAGAAAAGATCAATTCAGTAATATCAACTCGTGCACTACCCCAATTACCCAAGTGAAGGTGGTCTATGACTACCTTCAAGAACTTTTCAACAATCTCCCAGTTGAGAACGTTCTGCTCAATTCCTTCCACAAAGCTCTATCGCCAAAGAACTTTGGTATTAGCAGATGTATAAGACTGGATTTACGCGAAAATGGGAAAAAAATTCCGGGGGACCATATTCAATATATTCTAGAAGAGGTCCAAGTATCCACATCTATGCATATATCTTCGTTAAGCAATCCAGATTTCCGTTTAGATACTGCTAGACTCTCGGCTGACGAAGTGTATATAGAAGATGCTCATTGGGTATCCCGGGATACCCTTCTGTGCATAGATTGTACAAGAATAACTTTGTCGAATAATAGTTTAACAGGCAAAGATATTCAAGACTTCATTACGCAGTGGCTAAGCTCAACGAGCACTTGTTTAGTGTGGTTGAAAATGATCAAAAGACCAAATTTTGACGTCAGCATGTTTTCGACAGAACGGTGGAATCCTGATTTAAGAGGGAGGTATTTCAGGTTAGTTCTTTTTTTAAACTTACTTCTTTCCAGAAACAACAATCATTACAGATTTGATCACTGTTTCAATTATAGAGGGATATCAAAAGTGGACTGCTCGAGAGGAATGGATCTAATTTGAAAAGATGACTTGATGGCATCGATTGTTTTCAAGGAATGCACAACTTATTTCTTAGTTTGGCATGATAGACATCCTGAAACTGAAAGATATCCAGACGACTACTCGCATTGGTGATGAAAACAGGAATTTTTATAAAGTAGAGTCCAGGTTTAACGTCGACCAACCAATTGGAAAATGGTTTACAACGGAATGTTTTCTCAGATGGGTTAGGAATTTTCTACTAATTGGTGGTCTCAAAGTAGTTGCTTCTGTGAGTGGATTCTAAAATTTCCAGCCCTCACAGAACATTTAGATACCCATTGTGTTTCTCTTTTTCGAGACACTTATATTGAGCTTTACCATCAAACGCATTATTACGAGATTAATCCATCAGGTCTGGATATCCTTTAGACTACTTTTAGTTAATTCAGTCGTATACTTAACACCAAATACTAAGGCGAGCCCTAATGATTTAGTGCTCTCTCAAAGAAGTCGAAGTTAAGACCCAGAAGGCATACTTGTTCCTCTGGTTCCCTCTTTTTAATTTGTGCATAATCTAACGAGTATTAGGGTTTTTTGAACAAAGTAAAGGGACCGAATTTGCCTTTTGGAAACACCGGC